ATTATAATCATAATTATTATATTATTACTACTATTAATGAAAATTATTGAATTTCTAATATATCAAGAGAAAATGTTTCATTATTGGAATTGCATGTTCTGAAATTATTTGTCTAATTTTCCCGTCTACATTATTTTATGAATAATTTAACGTATTTTATGAATAATTTACATTCTAATAAATTTTGCTTCTTTCAATTTTTCTCAGCGAATCTTTTTCCCTAAAAGATTTATGATATTTTTAATTAGAAAAATTTTTGAAAATAATAAATTTTCTTGTCGTATTCGTAGTGCTGACAAATGCTGAAATATTACTATTATTATTATTATTATTATTATTATTATTATTATTATTATATCATTTATGTTATTATTATTATTATTATTATTACTATTATTATTATTATTATTATACAATATTTTTGCTCTTTTTTTATTACTAATAATATGTTATATATGACTTAGATCTCATTTCTCTCACTAATATTCAGTTTATTTTTCGTCAAAATGTTTTGAAGAAAACGTCGACATTTTTAGGCTTAAATATTTCTTGCAAAAATCTATCATTCTTATTTATTTATTAAATTCAGAACAATTTCTTTTGATTTTTTAAATATTTCGATTTTGAATTTCGTTTTATAATTTTGAATTAGGCATACTGCCATTGAAAATTTAATAATTAGGTAACTTATCGCAGAGGTAATAGGTCACAGGTTTTAAAAAATAAAATTTATCTAGCATATAAATGAAGTAAACAATTTGTTTATTCTTTGCTAAACTCTTATTTATATAAGAAATTTAGATAAAAGTACTTCTAGAATTTGTAAATAAAGTTAGCAGATAATTAACACATAAAAGTTTATGAAAATTTGCAACTGAAAACTGATATAGTCATGTATTACATATGAATGAACCTAATAAATGTATGTAAAAATTTTAGATTAATTTATTAAGAAAATATAAAACTAATAAAATTACACGTCAGGAACACGTAAATTACACGTATAAGTTATATTAAATATTTAAATCACTTTTTCTCTGCAATTATTTGGCAATTATGATTAATTATTTTTAGTTCAATAATTAATTTTAATGAAATTAATTCAAACTCAAAAGCATTAAAAATTAAATGTTTGATATCAACTTCGGAAAATTTCATGGTTAGTACTGATTTATTTAGGGATTTTGTTAAAAGTAATTATTTTAATAAATATTTTAACATTTTATTTATTTAACTTTTTCATTTTAATTAGTTATTATTCTGTACATTGCTTATTCTACTGACTACTCACAATATTCTTTCTAAGTGATTTTACAATCAGTGAAATGAAAGCGCAAACGATAGTTCACTAACACACGAAATTAGCCGTAAATTTGGCCTCAGAATTAACTTCGCTTAATTTTAATTGCAAAGTGAAGAAATTTATTTGTTAGCAAATTAATGAGCGGAATCTGTAGCTTTCTTCTCAAAACTCAACTCGAATCTGCGCTAATTTTTCGTTTTTTTTTCAGAGGTTCATTGCGTGTTTTACTAGTAACATTCGTTTAGCATTTGTTACTCAATTATATGTTTTCGGATTCTTAGTTAGCCTTTGAATCACATTTTGAACAAAGCTTTTCGCAGATGTGGCATACGATGCTGCTTGAAGCACAAATTCTCAAAACTGTGTTGGTGCTAAATTTGTAATTTCAGTAGTTCGATCAAATCTGTTTTCATGATGTATCAGAGGAACCATATAATATTTTTATCCGTTTTTAGATTTGGTTAAACTAACAACGTATATTGAGAAAAAAATAATAAATACTGTTTATGAATGAATATAATTTAATGATTCAAAAAAAAAAAAAAATTACGCTGAGAGCTATCACGTAAATATCAGCTGACCTTTAATATTTTTTTGGATTTAACATTGGTTCATGCTAAAAATGTTATAACGCAAGAGATTTTTCAGCGCAAAACTTGTTAAAAAAGTATCGGTAGATCATATATCCTGATTAATGTGTAGGAATTGATCGATAATGATCAATCAGTTAAATTAATTTAGTGATAAGAGTAAAAAGAACTACTAATTGAATAAAAAGAACCGTTAATCTTTTAGTTTTTCATTCTAACTCTTAATGATCTGCTATAACTAACTACATTAAGTGATTAATTATTAATAAACTTTTAAAACTCACAAATGCATCATCATTTTTATATTTCAATAGTAAATTCTGAATGAATGAGGAAAATATTTTTAATTTTAACTACGAAAAGTTCAGAAGGATTAATTTGAATAATGCGAGTGAGTAGCATTGGACAAACTTGTTGGCTACACTACTTGCAATGAATATTTTATAGAAATTTGAATTCAAACTATCTATTGCTTAATTTAGCATTCAAAATGTTTGTTTACTTATTTAGTTTTGAGCTTTAAAATATAAAAAGAAGCAAACTCTTTTTTTTGCTAATAATTCTTTTCATAAAATTACTGTATCAGCGTAATTTTTCTAATTAAAATAAATATTTGCATTATAAATTTATTTTAATAAATCATTCGAAATGCAATTTTAGATTGTTTATCGGAAATGAATTACTGTATTATTTTTTAAAATGATTTCAAATTTATTTTGTAAACTTTAAAAATAAATTTGTGATATATTTTATAAATTTTAATTCAGAAATGTATAAGTATCATTCGTGCTAGCTAAATTTTAATCTTATAAATTTAAAGCGCCAACTTTAGCGCTTTAAATTAAGGTACAAAAGCACATAATAGAATAAATAAATAATAAATTTCTAATTCAAAAATTCTTAATAATTCACAATTGAAATTGATAAAAATTATATCTATTAAATGTTTCAAATTCATTCCCCCGATTAAAATAGGCATAACCATAAAAAAATTCTCAGTTTAATGTGTATCTTTAATATTCAGTTACAAATCATTATTATATTCAATTTCAAGTATTTATAATTTTACAATTAAATTCAGACCTTATTTTTTCAATTGCATTATTTAATTACAAATTTGTCCTATGGAATGTAAATATTCTCAATTTAATATGCATATTCTGGAATTCCCTTGAGTAATATATCATAAAATTAGCATATGAAAAGTACATAAAACTATGAATGCAACTATTAAGTGCTGTAATTTCAATTATTATAACGGAATTGAAATAATCATAATAATGCTGATTTTATTATTTTTTGAAGTAATTTACTGTGCAATATTTTAAAAGCTTCGCTGAAAAAAGCACTTTTAATAATAACATAATTAAAAATTTCATTAATTGTATGGAAATTCAGCTTATAGTTCAAAATATGACAGCTTTTCGATATGGGTCAAAGTTAAAACGATAAATTTAATTTTTTTGAATTATTTAGATATATATGAAACGATGAACAGTTAAATGAGATGATAATGCAATGTACATTTTGATGCTTACAGTAATTAGCATATTTTTTGCTACAATAAACATACCGTATTCAACAACTACAATTACAACAATGGCATTTTTATTCCGATCAAATTCCGATCAAAATCGATGCAAACGTTTAGAATTAGAGCAATGCTTTGCAACAGCTTTTCAAGTAGTTCTGATCATTTTCATCGCTTATAAATTATCAAATAATTATTATTGAATTTGTATTTAAAATAATTTTAATATTTTATGCTATAAATAATAATTTATAAATATTTATTTGTATTATTCGCATGTTTTTTTCAAATTAAAATTCATTAGAAATCATAAATTTAGCTATTAATTATTATTTAAATTAAATTTCAAGTAAGCGGGATAAAAATTAAAATAAGTGTATTAAAAATTTGAATTTTAGAGATTACAAATTTGATATTTGAACAAATTTTTATTAATAAAATAGAAAAACTTGAAATTTATAATTTCAAATTCTATAAAAAAATATTTGCGCAAAATTATTGCATAAAATTAAAATAATATTTTACAATAGCAATCAAAAAATACTTAAATTAAGAAAAACGAATTTCTGCTAAATTTATTGCTAAAAAATGTATTTTTTCGTTGAAATGAAGAATTTGTCATTTTTTTTTCGCTCAATTTTATTAAATAAATACTTGTCGAAAAGTTGAAGACAAATATTTTAATCCGTTTTTAAGACAATGCGACTTGGAAAATTAAATAGAGAATTAGCTCAACATTTGGAAACGTTGAGAACACGTAACAGACGTTCAATTACTGTTAAAGGTCAAGGGTTGATGTCAAAAACTGAAATTTTATGTGCTGCAAATCGTCACTATCTAATCTGCTTTGGTAACAAAGAATGTCGAGATGATTACACAGCCCATGTGAATAATTACTTAATGTTTAATTAATTTGAAAATTTTCTTAAAAATAATCCAAATATTTAAGATATTTTGAAGTTGAAAAAATGAATTAACTTTTATAGTAAAGTATCTTTTGTATTTTTTGGGAAAAAACATCAAACATATTTTGTAATTACCAATTAAATATTAAAATTATTAATAGCTTTTGTGATAAACGTGAAATTCAGTTTTAAAATCAGACATTTCTTTTTAAAATAACCAACTTTATGAGCAGGTCGCATCAGCTGTATTTCAACAAATCCACGGACGTTTTTTACCAATTCAAACATTTATAGCCCACAAGGGATATATTTCACAGGTCGGATAATTTAAAATATTTATTACAGCAAAATCAAATTAAGGTTAGTTTATATATTGTATATATTAAAAAATAATTGCTGTTTATTTTATTTGAATAAGTCTTATAATTAAATTTCTATTTTGAATAAACGAAGACAGAAAAGTTATGTTTTATTGTACATTACACGTTTGTTTTATAACTTCTGAACTTTTTATTATTTTCAATTTCATATTTTGACAAATTTAAAAATAAATTAAAAAAAATCAAATTAAAAGATTTGAGGCCTTAAAGCTTTGGATGCAAAGTTTTGTCTTACGTAGTTGCTTGTTTTATAATTCACTGTAAATAACCAAAATAAATATGAAAATAATTAAAAGTAACTAAATTTGTGTTACGATGTAATAAAATTGTAGCATAAAAACTGTAAGCCACAAAAATTTTCTTTTTGCTGAATTATTCATTTTATTTTAATTTCAACTAATATATGTTTTGGTTTTAGTGTTATATTAATCATTTAATGGCTAGTAAAAATACTGTAATTTGGTTAATGTTCGATGCCAAATCTATTATTAAGATTAATTAAGTATTCACAGTTTAATAAGAAGATTCAGAAATTATAGTAATTTTCAAAAATGTTGAAAATTGTTGCATAGCATTGAAAATTTGCGTAGAAAGCAGAACGAATTTGAAAATTTACAGTAATCTCATGTAGTTATACAATACTGAAAGCTGTATAAATTTGGATTTGTCTTGAGTTTGCATAAAGTAAGTGATTTAATGATTTATATTTATTATGCAATGAGTAATAAATGTTTCATGATAATTTGATTAGTGTTTGTGAGCTAATTTTAATTTTGAAAATTACCGAAGTAATCATAAATAATGGAAAGGATTCAGAAATTGCTCTGAATGCTTTAATGTTTTGAAAACAAAGTTGTACTACTGAAGGATTTATGTAAA